ATTTAGAAACTGATTCCTCCTTCATTGTTCTGAACTCTTTTGCTAAAAAGAAGAGGAATCAAAGAAAAGCATATCTTCAAAAAGGATGGGTTAAACATTAAGATTGAATTTCTGTTTGAGCATTTCTTCTGCTTGAGCAGTTTTATTAAAAAACTAATAATAGTAGATATAGAAGATGGTTTATCAGAGTTTTGGTTTTTGATTTTCTCATAGTATACTATAATGTGTGCTAAGAAATTTAGACCAATAGGATTAGTTGTAAGGTGGTTAATTGCTTCTTCTTTAGATAGATTAGTGATATTAATAATTTTGAGCAGTTGTTTTATAATAGAAGACCAAATATTGATAGAAGTAATAATCACATCTCTTCTTAGTTGTTTTAATATTATTGAGTTTACAGGCCTCTTCTTCAGTTGCAAATGCAAGTTCATGTAGTATCAAGATAGGTATTTGTTTAGCAAAGGTAGCTTTATATTTATTATCAGTATGGAAGATAGTAGAGTTCAGTTTAGATTTAATCAAAGTAGATTTATCTTTTTAAGATTTTTTAAGAAAGAATTGTAGAATTGTTGAAGAGTATCTTGATAAAATTTCTTTTTATTGTATAGATAATTTTTGTTAAGATCTCTATAAGTGCAGTTTTGGTCTTTATATATAAGTATATGATAGTTGATGAATTTAGTTGAGTAAAATTTTCTGTTTCTAGCAGAGATTTGTTTAGAAAAGTTAAATGGTATTAGAATTAGTTTGGTGAGATGTAAAATAAATTGTCTACAAATTTGAAGTTGGACCATCAAGTGAGTTTTATTTGAGTTAGGATTAGTAGAAAATTGTTTGCAATAAATTGGAAATTGTTTGTCAAACTATTTGTTGAAAGTTGTGTCAAAGTCTTTAAATAAAGGAATGTTGTACTATTCTTGAAATAAAAAACAGATAAATTAAATTGTACCTGAATATTATATCTAGCATCAGATTTAATAGAGAAATATTCTTCTTGTATATCTATGCTAGTAATTTTAGAAGTGATAAAGAATTTTTTGGAGTAAAGTTAAGATCTTGTACAAATTTGTTATAATTAATTGTTTGGTAATTATTGGAGAGGTATAGATGCAAATATACAATATTAAGACAAACAAGAAGTCTTTGTGAGTTAGTATATATGATAAAGTAGCAAGTGATTCAAAGATTTTTATATAATTGAGTTTAGTAAAAAGAATAGTAATAAATTTAAGAATAAGACTTCTAAGAGTTGATTTGAAAAATTCAAAGAGAATAGGAGCATTAAATATAACTTCTGAATTTGTTTTATAAATTAATTTAAATAGAAATTCTGGTTTGCTAGCAGCTATTACATGAATAATATATTAGAAGGATGCTTTAAGGGCTGGTCTGTTTTTAGTTTTAGATTTGATTTTTCTATCAGAATAAAAGTTGTAGAGGTGTTGTTTGAGAAAAGTTAGTAATTGTTTAGATAGAGTAGTTTGTAATTTAGTATATGTTTCCATTTGGTCTGTAAAAAAATAGATTTTAAACTAATCAAGACCTAAAGTAGATTTATTTTTAGAGTATTGGGATTGTTGTTGTTAAGTTTGTTTATTGTTAGATTCATATTGTTGTTTTTGATTAGTTTGTTATTCAAATAAAATTTGTTGATATTGAAGTTGTAATATTATTAAAGATATTAGCCAGTATGAAAGTTTTATTGTCATCAGTTTCTATTTCAGATATTTTATACTGCTGTTCTTGTTCTTATAAGTTTTTTAAGTATTTAGTAAAGTAAGCTTCATTAATATAAAAATGTGCATTGTCTTAAAGTTCACAATTTCTATCAGTAACTTTACAGTTAATTAGTTGTTAACATTTGGGGCATGTATGAGTATGTGTTGTTGTAATAGAAGAGGTAGGGATAGTAGTAGTAGAGTTTGTCAGAACAGATTAAAGTTTTTTTGATTTGACTATTATATATAATAGGATTGACTGTAGGAGATGTATTATATTGTTTGTTAGTTAAGAAGACAAAGTGGATATGAAAATTGCTACAAAGACAATTTAATGATAGCAGTAGATTTAGGAGCTAGAAAAAAGTGTATAGCTTTGTAGTTATGAAGAGTTTTAATAATACAAGTAGTAGGTTTGAACTGAACTGGCATAGATTAGCTCTGTTTAATTCATCTTTATAGACTGCAACACCAAAGATATCTGCATGATTTTGATAAAAAACATCTAGATTTAATGAGTTAGGCTGTTAAATTGATATAGGCATATTGATTGAAATTTTCTCAAATAATTTTAAACAAGAGATATTATAAAAAAATGGTTACTAAATTTGAGAAGAGAATAAAATAAGCTTCAAAAAGATATGTTTTTTATATTATGTTTCTTAGAAAAATTTAAAGATATAGATCTGTAATATATTAAAGACTTGTTATAAGAGTATATATATTTACAAAGTATTATTAAAGCTACTGTGGCTTGTGTAATCTTGTGTAATCTAGGAAGTTTAAGATTACACAAGTTATGTATTATACAAGTTATGTGTTATACATATCACATATTATATAAGTTATACAATTAAGCAAAATTTGGGTAATGTTACTAAGTTGACTATAGAATAAGTAATAAATACAGTAGTTATTTTGTGTAGAATGGATTGCCAAAAAGGGTTTGATTGTTTTGTTAATATAAACAGGTATAAACAAGTTGAAAATATAGGTCCAAATATTACACAAAAATGATTTGAATAGGATAAACTAAGAGAAAACTTTTTAAGAGTTTAGAGAATAAAAAAGAGAGTTTTGATGTTTTGAGTTTTAAAATGATCAATTATAGATTAAATTTAATATATTATAATTTGTTTTGAAGCCAGAGATAAGCTTTACAAGTTTAATTATGAGATATTAATATATTAATAAGCCTAGTTTGCTAAGAAGGGCAAAGCTTTGGAGAAAGAACAGAGTTTTGTCCACCTGTCTTTGTAAATTAAATATCTTAAGAATGGTAAGAAATAAAGACTTAAAACTTTACAAATTTATGTAAAAACAGTAGCTGAACAAATGTACTTAAGAGCTAAAAGATTATTAACTTAATAAAGTTTTGCATAAATGAAAAACTTAAAAAAATTTAGACTAAATTTTGTATACAAATGGTGAATAGAAAGAGTTTTCCTCGATTTTTAAATTTTAAAAAATTTAATTTGATATTTCCATACTCTTTTTTGATATTGCCACACCCTGTTAATTAAAAATCAATATAAATTATTAGGTTTGGTTAGGATTTAGAATTAGCAAAAGTGTAGTAATATCAAAAAAGAGTGTGGAAATATCAATTTCTAAAAAAATTTAAAAATTTTAAATTTGTAAAAAAAAAATTCTATTGTATAACTTAAACTTTTTCTATAGAAAGTGGTATATCCTTGCTATTTATTTTAATGATTACTGTGTGGTTATTTGAAGTTAATTGTTTATAAATATACACTCTTGTGAAAATATTGGTTGTAGTTTTTATTTTCAGGTTTGGGGATTCATATCATGATTCGGTGCAATGACAACCTTAGTACTAGGCTCAATTGTATTATTTTGTAACTTTTTTTAAATAAACACTTTCATATTGACATATTTTTTTACAGTATTTTTCTAATGTGTTATTTACTAATTTTTGAATCCTTGATATTTGCAACACATGTTTTTCAATAGATTTTGCTACTTTCTCTGCTGTTAGTTCAGCTGTTGGTTCTGCTATTGCTGCTTCTGCTATTGCTGCTTCTGCTACTGCTGCTTCTGATACTTCTGATGTTGCTGCTTCTAATGCTTCTGACATTATTACTTCTGATGCTTCTGTCATTGCTGCTTCTGATGCTTTTGCCATTGCTGCTTTTGATGCTTTTGCTATTGCTGCTTCTGATGCTTTTGCTGTTGCTGCTTCTAATACTTCTGCTATTGCTGCTTTTGCTATCACTTCAACTACTTCTGTTGCTGCTTCTGCTGTTACTTCTACCACTACTTCTAACTGAAAAATGCTAGGCATTTCATAAACACTATGCATTTTTCATTCAAACATAATCTTATGTGGTGTGTGATCATGTGGCTTATGAATCAATGAATTATATATATAACAAATATATCTAAAATATTAACAGACTTTTGTTGTAATTGGTTGTTGTCATCTCACAACAATTTGTAAACCCATAGCCAATAGTTTGGTTAAGACATTCTACTTGTTTTTGGGTTTGTGGATGGTGGAGGTATCTGTGTTTGATAGTAATATTTAGAGTTTTACATATTTGGGTAACAATTTGTCACATGAACTCTTTACTATTATCACTTTGCATAACAACTGATGGTCTAAAAATTTTAAAGTATCCTTAACAAGATGTATTGTGATAGTACTATTTTCTTTATTTTTTATAGAGATTGCAATCAAATACTTAGAAAAAATGCATATACAAGTAAGCAACTATGCAAACTATAATTTACTTTGGCAAACTTCTGAAAATCAATAATTTCAATTTGAATATGATACCATGATGCTATTGAAACAACAGATTTCATATCCATTTTCTCTTTAATTGAACTATTAATTAAACAAGTAGTACATTTATTGATATATTCCTACATACTTTGTTGTGTAATACCAATGTGCTTTTCTGAAAGCACAGAAAGTGTCTTATAATAACTTCGATAGTTAGCTTGATTATAAAATAATCTAACAATAAAATGCATAACTCATTATCATAAGAGAGACTATATGACTTCTTCCATATCTAACTTCACCATTTTTATAAACAGCTGAAAGATAAAGAATCCTGTTTTCATAAACCTTGAATTTTTTGCATCACTTTACAAAGTTATATTTATCTACAGGACTAATAAAATTTGAAGAAACAATTTTGAATTAAATGTAGTTTAAAATTGACTAGTATTCAGCCAGTGTTTTAGGAATTTTCAGAATTGTGGGCATAACTAATTTGATAAAGATATAAAAAATTTCTTTTATTAATAAAATTAGTTTGTTTTGATTGTAAATTAACCAATCATATTTTGAAATCAGGTGTAATTTAAAAATCAAAAAATTAAGATAATCGAATAAACAAATAATTTAAATAAACCTTAAGGTTAGTGGTAAGATTTGGTTAAGATATAGTATATATCGTATTTTCACATAATAATACACAGAAGTATAATTTCAAATTTTGGTCTAAATTAAACTTAATTCGGGCCAAAATTTAAAATAATGCTCATAGACGTTATTACATGAAAATACAGTACTAAAATTTGATAAAAGAATTTTTTATCAAAATATTAAAGGTGTTCTATAAGCAGGACTTTGAGCTACAAATGATTTTTTTAAAAAATATATATTTCACAATACACCCAATCTTGAATTTAATTATTGATCATCACATGAGTGCAAAGAAATGAAAAAAAACCAATATTTTTAATAATCTAATCAAACAACACTAATATTAAGATTTGGGGCAACATAGAAGAATGTTTATGGATAAATACATAGCTAAGATGCACTTCTGTTTTCTGGTCTATATTACCCTAATAACAAATGATAAGTATAATTTTCTTTAAAAAACCAGATTATTATAATAATAGACTAACCTTGTTTTTATTTTATTTAATTTTTTTTGATGTTAAGGTGACCTCTTGGTCATTTTCCTTTTATTCGGTTATTATTAACTTTTACAGTATGGTATACACCATACCATATACATATTTGGAGAATACAGACTAGCCACATATGCAACTTTTGGTTGCCTATTTAAGTAGTCCTCTATTACTAAGTTCTACACTAGCTGTCATACCTATAACCCTACCGAGTTGCTCATTTAAACTCTCTGCGTCTATGAACATTAACTTCTAACCAAGCAAGAATACTTAGTACCCTTATTTTCAGATACCCGAC